AAGATATCTTTAATTAATTATGCATTTCTCTTTATTCAATATAAGTAGTTAGTAAAGTAAAGATGTCATAAATGTTAGCCACAATTTTGAAAAAAAAAATTATAAATTTAAGACAAAGTTGATGTTGTTAACTAAATTAACCAATTTTTTTAACTCTAAAAAATTGCTACGGGCAATTAGGTCTTACAACTAAATTAACCAACATAAAGTCAAAAAAACACCTTATAATACTCCCATTGTCTCATAATAATCATATTAAATTATTTACACAAATTAAGAAAAGATAATAAATAGATGAAAGATAATAATAATTTCACAAAATTAATCTTTTTTTCTAAAAAATGTTAGAACACAATAGCCATTTTTTAAAGAATATTATTAAAAATATAAATAAAAATAATAATTAATACTAAATTGGAAAACTTACATAAAACTTAATTTAAAGCTTATTTTTTCTTTTAACTCGATATTTGTTAAAGGACGGATAGAATAATAAATATCATTATTTATATAATAAATTTTTACAATAATTTCTACTCATTCACTTTTTAACGTTGCCTTTTTTTTTTCTACTTTCTTTGCCTCTCGCTTTCGTAAGTAATTTATCGTGAGAAAAAATTGATGAATAAATAATAGAAGTATTACCCATGTTAATTAAACCTTAACGTGTATTGACATTAGGCACTTCATCCACACTTTGAGTAGTATTAACTATTTTTATAGTATTTAATTTATTTATTTTTGGAATTTTAACTACACCAGACATAAATTTAAAAAATTAAATTAGATACGTGTTGAATTATAATATATTTCCTTAAAGTTCATTTGGTTTGAGGGAAGTATATATACAATCAGAAAACACGTTTCTTCTCTTAATTTTGTCGACTTCAAAAGAGTTGTTTCTTTAATTTTACAGAGTCGTGCCATTCGCACCGAAAGTTAACCCATTATATGTTTAGGTATAGAGTTTTTGCAAATTTACTCAACCTTTCTTACTAGTTTATTCTTGACTCTTATATATATATATATGTTGAGATTTTCAAAAGCACACCAGATAAATACATTGTAATGGAAAGATTGCTTCATCTGGTTTAGGAGGATTCCTCCAAGGTTTTATTTTATTTTTTGACAAATTTTAAATTAGTATTTTTATATTTAAAATTAGACTTTTTATATGAGTAACATGCATACACGGTAAGGTTCATATTAAAGGTTGGTATTAATTATCAAGATAAAATTGTAATTTTAATGAAAGAATATATAGTACCAAAATACCAGTGATACTGTACTATTTTTTTTTCTTTGTTTGGATGAAGTATCTTGTACTGTTCCCAAGTTACCTATCAATTTGCTTTCAAACTCTTACCTCATATGATAACTAAAGCAAAGAGTGAGTGTGGCGAGTTCAAAATATTATTGGTGCAATTTGTATTTTTATTGGCAAATGAATTCAGGCTTAAAAGGAAAAAAGAAAGGGAAACGAATGTATTACAACTGTGTTAATATGAACTTTTCTTACAAATTGGAGGATTCCGATTCCCTCAAGTGATAACATATATAATCCAAGAATAAGTGTAGCCATTTCTTTAATGCTAAAAAGAAGTTATTTAATGTAGTATTAATTAGAAAGAATTAATGACTTGACTTTTTCTAAATAAATATTATACTTTAGAATGTTATAATGAACTTGGTGATTTTGATAATTAAAATTTTAAATAATAATTATTCATATATTTTATTTTTTATGTAGTTGGTGGTATTTTATTTTCTAAAAGGTTATTAATACAAATAATTCAATATTTATGTTCTTTAACTAATAATTGGAGTTTAATCTTTAAAATAAGTATAAAGTTGCAACTTGATATACCACTTTACACTTAAATAGACTCATTCAATAAAAAAAAATATAAAAAAAAAGTTAGACCTCTTAATTATATTAAATAAAAGCAGTATACTTTAAAATGATGGTATGAACTTGGTAATTTTAATATATAATTAGGTTTAAATAATAATCATAAATATATTTTATTTTCTTTAGAATATATATAGAGTTGTCAAATGAATGAGTTCCATTTGAACCAACACAAATAAATCAATTGTATATCTTGAATTTTTTACAAATTACTTATTTTGTAGATAGATAGTTCACCAATTTAAACCAAATTGATTGGATTCTTTTTAACTAATTTTTTTTTCAAACTAGTACGTTGAATTTGAAAGAAAGACAACATATTAAAAGAAGACAAATGGTGAAAGAAAGAAAAAAAGCATATTGTAGGATTTGAAAATCTAATTAACAGTAAGAAATTAAGAATATAAGGAAAACTTTATGAAAAGGTTTGTGCTACGTCTAGATCTCTAGGGCAGGATCCTTTTCTAGCCATGGGGGTCATATTGCGTACTGCTGTCACTATTTCCTTCTCCATTCCTGGTGCAGCACATTAAAATTCCAGTCAGACACCACCATTATTAAATTTCGACGTAATTAATGAGTTCCCCGACAATCACAAGCAATTGAACAAAATATCAATGCTTTGTGTTACATATAAATGGTCAACAATAACATGTTAAACTCGTACTATTATAACAACCCATGTGTATGCTGATATTTCATGCCTTACTTGAAGGTTGCAGCATATGCTCATATGCAGATGTAGTTTTGTTAAACTATATATTAGTTGGTATTTTAGACAGATAATCAATGAAAATATTATCCTTCTGCTTTTTTTATAATAATTCTTTCACCTTCTCTACAAAAAAGGTTTAGGCCTTTGGTCCACACCTAGTGTTCACATAATCCAAAATCGAAGCAATATATCAAGAAAACCCTTTTTTTTTGTAAATATTCTTCATTCCCGCATTATATGTATATGGGGTCAAATTAATTGACATACACGTACGCAATTTTCATGGAGGAAATCACTCAAACTGTAATCACAAAGAGATACGAAATTTAGTAGTGATTGCATTGATGGTAATATAGAATTTTTCTTACTTGCACGCAAAGGATACTTCTTTTAAGTTGTGGACAGTGATATCGTTTCCTTCCCCAATCCCTATTCATTTTTGTGGTTACTTTTTTTGTTGTAACCATTGGAGTTTCCGTTTTATGGTTAGTTTAATACTTAATTGAGCTCACTTTTGCATCGCTTACGTTATTTGAGTCGTATAAAGGAGAAATAATGAAAGGGCAAACCATGGGGACCACGTGTTGTGTAGAGAGACAAATTTGTCCATTTGAAAGACTTGGGTAGAGAGATCAATGCCCCACCCAACAGCTTAATTGCACGATCATGTCCATTTTAAATGGAGAGAGAGAGAGAGCATTTTTCGTTGCTTCATTAATTTAACAAATTCCTTTTCATTTGAGCCTTACACTTTTTAGGTGCATTATGAAAATGGAAAATGCCCCACTGATGTGCATGGTCATGGTGTCCACAAAGGAATGGTTGGGAGGGCAAAGCAGAGCTTCCCTATTTATGGGGTTTGGATGTGTTCTCCATTACATCGACCACTAGTAAACGTCTTTTGAGGATTTTTTGGCCAACTTATAAAGAAATCTAAAATATTGTGACTAATTTCCCTTTCTTTTTTTTTCGGTGCTTAAGATTTGTGGGAGGTGTTGCCCAAATTTCTCGTCTGGTTACACTACAACATAGACATGACGACATGATTATATGGGACCACGGCATGAGGCAAGATACATCATCCGGCATGGGTGCTTCAATTCGGTCCATTCACCCTTAAGCATGCATTAAATTAGAATCGGGGTGCTAGTGGGGTATAATAAATTTCTCTCATAATCAAATTCTAATATTCTTCATTTGTTTGTCTCGGATTCATATTTGGATTCCATAAGTTTTATCTCATGATCAAATATCATTGGTCTTGGATCCATATTTGCATTCATATTTGGATTCAATTATGCAGCTTGTCTTTCTTCCCCACTCCTCCTCATTAATGTAGCACCATATTCAATAACATGGTCTCTCGTATTCTTGTTTAGCCGAAAATGAAAATAAGAGGCCCAATAATTAGTAACATGGTATATACTTTAATCTAAACATACAATAAGTTGTAGTACAGTAATCAGTAGCTTGACTTCTTCCTTAGACTACGTGTTATTAAACATAATTCGATGATCGACTCAATCAAGTAATTAAATTATTGAATCTTTGAGAAACCGGCTGAGTTGGCTTTATCATCATATCGCGTAATTGATTATAAATATCATATGGTATTTAATTAAAAAGATATAAAAAAAGTTATTCAATTTAAACCATCAATTTTAAACAAATGATTTTGATTGATAATCAATAACTAATCTATACTTACAAAACGGAACTTCTAGTTATTAAACATTATTTTCACATAAATAAAAAATCAAACTTAAATATATTAAGTCAATCCTCTATATCGCAAAATAAACCTTACAATTACTAGATCAAGAGATTTGGTTAAATATTTTTACTTTAATCTTACATATTACTCAAAAAAAAATATTTATTTATTGCAAAACACATCGTTAGATTTATAGATTTTATCTTATAAATTATATTTTCAACATTTAATACCAACAAATAATTAGTTATTATTAATTCACAATCATAAATATTAACATAAAATAAATTAAATATATATATATATATAAAGTTAATCATTTAATTGTATTATTATTTGTTTAATTTTTAATTCTTAAAACTATATATTGAATAATTCTTAATTTCAAATGTCTATAAACAATTTTCTTTTTGACAATATAAAGAATATATTGTTTTCACCGATCAATGTATAAATATACAAAATAAACATATTCCTCGCTCATAAAAGTGACTTTCACACTAATGCGTTATTCATATGAATATAGATGTAGGGAGAAAATCTATTTACAATCAAACTTTGTAATTTAAATATCACCTGTAATAAGACCAATCAACATTAGTATTTATTTTCTAGCTGAAAGAACATGAGTATAGAAATCAAGCACGAAATAGTAGTACAGAATTGCTTAAGCAATAGATTGAAACTACTACCAACACATGATATCATACAACAATAACTCTCGATAAAGGCGCTCCAAGATTTAAAAAATAAAATAAAATAAAATAACAACAACAACGGAATCGCTAGTAATTGCTAAACACAAAAAAATTCATTCACTCCAATTCCTTGCGATACTATTACAGATATACACTGACTTACGATCAAATTCAAGCTGAACTACTGATGCGCTCTTTTGTACAGAATCTGCAATCTATGTTTACAAACAATACAACATGATGTTGACGAAGTAAAGAACATTAGATGCACCATGTTAAGTACGTACTAGATCGTACTAATCGGATGCATCAGAATCTTCAGATGTCACATCAGAATCTTCTTCTAGGTCTTCCATTTCATTAATTTTGAGCGTTCGACAGGCAGAGGACATCTTGGTCATTGCTGCCGTTTTGCTTGCTCTCTGTGTGCGACTTTTTACAGTATTATGAGTAGCAGGAACCACAGAAGGTGAACCTTCATCAGAACTATCTTCCTCAATCCTTACCCTTCTCCTAGAACGTGCGGGCTTGGCTGGGGGTGCAACTGGTGTTTGTGGCATTGAAACAGAAGCATCCAAATCAAGGTCGCATTCAAGTTCCAATTTCCCTTCAATAGATAAGATGAAAAGGAACGTGTTAGCAATAAAAAAGGTTTTAAAGGAGGCTAAAAAATACGACTAAAACAGCTTAGCACAATGAGAAGTATATCAAAAATTAAAATTTGCTTGCTACTAACGCATTTCTTTTTCAAGATATTGATCAAAAGCTAGTTGGTTCATTTGCTTGATTGAACAAACCCCTATTTCCCCCACGACATCATCATCAAAGTTTATAATAATAAAATCAAATAGAATCAGATATCAGTATCAAAGCCCGATCACCATACGAGGTTTTTGACAGTTCAAAAATTAAGTCTGTTTTTTCAATTCTAACAACTCGAGAGAAAAATAAACAATTACCCAAAATAAGATTTACTTCTTCTTGCAACAATTCCTGATCTGGCTGCCCATCTATTGTCATGAGACGATCAGCCATGCGTTTCAATTCTTTAACAAGATCCTTCTCTGTGGACACACATTCAATCACACGATGTAAAAGCCTCCTCATAAATTTTATTGGCCCTTGTTCTGATTTCCGAAACTGAAGCAAAACAAGCACTCTGCATAAAGCCGACACATATGCCTTCTCAGCAGCTGTCTTCTTAGATTGAAAGCTTGCCACCTTAATGAATTAGAGGGTAAGAAGCGAAAAGAAAAAAAAAACTATCATTAAATAAATTTGAATCATGCAATTCAACTATCTGATACAAAGCATGTACATCATTTCATTAATTAATAATTTTTCCTTCAATAGATAACAATAAATTACTTTGGCAATAGACTTGAAGTAACATCCACCAACTTAGGCAATATTGGTGGCAATCGGATGTCAAGCATCAATGAGCACACAGTTTAAACCAACGATCGCATTATTTCGATATAAATCATACAGTGCTGATTTCTTGTAGCTCACGTTAGAGCTCTACTATAAGTGTCGCTTTTAGAACTTTGTTCAGAAAGGTAGACGAAACTCCAAGGTTAGACAAAGAACAATGCTCGTTATTTTAATTTTAAGACGTTCTGTTCCACATCCAATGATCCAATCCAACATCCACTGACGTTTATCCACTAAGAACGAATTTTACAAATAGTTTCTATATCAAATATAGAACGTAGCAAATAAAGAAGAATACCAAGGACAACCATTATCGATTCGTACTGAGGTGAAGCTTTAATATATTATGTCAATTACCAAGTAACAAAAAATCAAGTATTAACAACTAGCATATCTTAAATAACTGCAAATTTGTGGACCGTTACCTCTGCGGCTATGCGTAGTGCAAGCCCCTCTTCACAACATTCAAATGGAACTTCAGCAGAACTGTCTATGACTTGTGGATGTTCCGTGCTACTATCTTCACAATCTGGTTGAGTCTCTTTAGTGTACAAGGGAATCTGCACCATCTGCAGCATAAAACGGGAAGCTTGAACAGCACGCTTACGCATCTGAGACACCATAAAAGGAGAACCCGCAGAATTGCCAAAAATTCCGGGCCACATTGAACGCATTACTGGAATGAAACTCTTCGTTAAGCTCCTCTGTAGTTATAGAAATAAAACAATTAAGGCGTTATCTATAACATTCAAATAAAGTAAATACAAAATAAGGTGGACAAAGAAACACACAGAAAATAGTTATGCTTGCCTTATGATTGGCTGAGAGACATGGGTAAAGCTCAAAGAAAACAGATAAGCATTGCTTCAACCTGGCCGACAAATAAAATATGAATGAGCTGCTGCTAGTGCAGTGCAAAAATAGTACAAACATTTGGCGGGGAGGTGGGTCACCTGTGTAGATGTTCCGACACATCACTAAAATACAAGTAAATGAGTTTTGATAAAAGAACATGATGCAAAGAAACCGGTATGCTTGGGTAGTTGTCACTTAAAAGAAGAATTTTAGCAAAGCCCTCCCCAAGTATAGCATGAACGCACTCATCTTCGTTGCTAGGTAAAGGACTCGCCATATCATCATTTTCAAAACCGCTAAATAAGATATCAAGCGTCTCAATATCTAAATCCCCTTCTGAATCAGAAAAGTTCACAGGTGAAAAAGTCGTCTTTTCGTTGTTCATTTGGCATGGAATATTGAGCTTTAACGCCTTGTCAATTTCTTGAGGTCCATGCCACATCACAAGATCAATTAAAGCTTTACAAGACTCTATACTGATTGAATGCGGCCCCTTCATATATGAAATTCTCAGTTGTTTCAAAAGTTCGGCACTTGGTTTTCTTTCCAAAAGTCCAAAAAGGCCAAGGCATCTGACAGCAATCCTCTGCACATCCAAGTGAGATTGTTTCGCCTGCGCATTTCATTTCCCACACCAGTAAACAATTAGTGATCAATGCCCTCAAATATGTACCTGTAAGGGCTGATTTAGCCTTCATAAAACCATTTTCTTAATAATAATTGTTTTTCTATTTCATGTCAACATCAAATATTATTATGACAATTCACCTAGCCATAAGGAACCAAAATTTAGGAATGACATCAATAAATGAGGCATACATTATTCAACACGGAATAATTCATAAATTTATGTTATAGCTATGAATCACATTTTACTAAATTTTGGCACCATTTTAGTTCTTTTAGAAGATTGGTCAACTTCCTCAACAAATTTTTGATGATGAAAGAATCAATTCCTGTCGTGATAAATATGCTAAAATTTATTAATAATAAAATTAAAGATAACTAAAAGCCTAAAATCAATAAGGAGGTGCAATAATTTTTTACCCCAGGAAGTAATAAAGATTGGAGTAGCTCATCAGGTTCAATAGCCTTGCCCTGAAGAAAGCGCAGCGATTTCGTATTTTTGAGAAAAAGACCAGTAAGAGAGAGACTGTGCATCCACTGCACATAATTTGCTGTTCTCTCCCTGCAAGGTTGGGCGAGCTCTTCTATGATTGCAAGAACAACTTCTTCAAATTCACCAGCAGTGGCATGAACTTTCCTTGCTAAACTTGCTACGGCTTCAGCCCATTCATTGTCTCCACCAAAACTTAATCCATCTCCAAGAACAACTATATTTCCCTCATTATCATCCTCGTGCTCAGGAGGCTTGCACATAAGCTCATGCAGAAATGCACCAGCGGCCTTTCTATTTGAAACATCAGAAAAGTCAAACATAGCACCAAGCAAAAGCAGCTGCCGTGATGCAAACCGATGATTTGCTCCTGAAGAGATTATGTTAGCACAGTTAAGCAAATATTAAACGGTCTTGGGATGTATCAGCACCATCCATAAAAACGTATACTAACCGGCATTAGTATGAGCTCTGACCAATTCTATATATTCACCAACTGTTGCAGGAAGAATTTTTTCTAGAAGGTCATTTTTATCTGATGCTTCTGCTGCATATACTTCAGCTTCAGTGCCCATTGTGGCCGCAGCATCAGAGCCTTTGGCCTATTTGGGGCAAAAATCTTAATCCTTAGTGCTTTGAAAACAAATGATCTCTAATAATTGTAAATTAGGTTCAAAAAAGTATGATAAACACATGATGAAACTAGTAAGTTAGAATTTTGACAAAAAGAGAGGCATTCTGATTTATAATTTCTTACTAAATGCACTGACATGCTAACACGTGCACTGATATGCTGGCAGACTGTAGAACTATAAATGCAGAGAGCTTCACTCACATTAGAGATGAAAACTTAGTCATTTCTCCTAGGGGAAATAAGAAAGAATAAGCAAATCATGTAAAAACCAGTGAAAATGCAACCTTATCACTTTACAGATATATTTAAAAAGTTTTTTCTTGGAATAGGATCGGATAAGGTGTCAGGAAGTCTTCAAGATGATCTCAATAAAAATACACTATAAAGATTAACTCTCTGAAGTCAGGACAAACTTCCTATTAGTATTTCAGAATATGGTCACATTGTCACAAGATAGACAAGTGACTTGATATCAGCTTGCTCTAATTTTCTATTTAGCCACTAATGTATAATAAACAAAGTGAGATAAAACATGTCTCAACTACTTTCTTAGGTTTCACTTAATGTGACAAATCAATGAGAAAATTGGATATAGTCATTTTAACTCACATGTGCTTCTGACTGTAAATGCTTGCAAACAGTCCTCCAATAAAGAGAAACCTCTGCTTCCATTAGCTGAATTCTTGGTGGGCAATGAACCAAGTCCCCTACAATTAGAATGAGAAACAATAAAGTACTCTACACAACAGCCAGACAGGTTTATCCTGATTTCTACCTAGAAATAATTGGTTAACTTCTAATAATAGCATTCAAGAAACGAGATTACAGGAGGCAATAAAATAGCTGAAGATGTTAAAGTACAAGATGATGCAGGGATAGAGTCTCGCAGCCATCTATAAATCTCTTTGCCTTCTGAACTCGTGCTTATGAAATAGTTAGATGTCAAATATACAAAATTTAGTTCAGTATTTTGCATGACAACAAACATGATATATCAACCTAGAATTTTATATTGGTTTTGAAAGATTTAGTCAAGCAACATGTAACAACACTTAAAGATAAAACAAATAAAAACAAATTAAACTTTGAAAGCTTCGCTAACCTTCTGTCCTGTCACCATTTGATAATATGTACTGCTGGATACTTGCACCATTCTGCAGCTTTACTAAACCAGCTTTAAGAAGTGCCTCCATGACAGACTCGCTCACTGATTCATAGGTTTCAACATCAAGATACTTCAGAAGTTCTAAAGGATCACCATTACAACACTTAATAAGCCACTCATCTTTCAATAGTTTAAAACATTCCTTAGAGACAGCAACAGATCGATCAGCAAGTCCTCTGCGAAGAATTACTGTCCTAAGTTTAATGCTACAGAAACCAGGCAAATAAAGAGAAATTGGTTAGACAAGTATACTTAAGTAAATTAATAGTGGTAAAAATTAAAATGACTGAAGAGATTGCAATAATAATAGTAGGATATCTACCTTTGGCCACTGTAACTATAGGATGCGATAACGTTACATAATATTCAAATTTATATTAAAAATCGAAATCTTCACATTTGTTTTTAAAAAGGGGGACAAAGACAAACTATACCGATTACAATTTATTATATATGAAAGGTTAGAAAAGAGGACAAACATAGATGACAAGTATGAGTATTTGTACAATGGAAGAAATGATAGAGAATTTGAGATTTTCTCACTTGTAGTGTGCATGTTAGAAAGTGACCGTAAACACTAACGAGAAAATATGTGGAGTGATTTACACTTGTTCACATTTTAATATCCATTATTTATGTGCCTTGCATTTGAAGTGAAAAAATCCTGCACAGGATGATCCAAATCCTAGGGACGGTCGAAACTAGTAGACACAATGTGAGACGATAGACATAAAATTATTATTTCACTACACGTGCCATTTACCTTAAGCTTTGAAGAGGAAATTTATTAGCTAGAACACAGTAAGCTGCTTTGCGTACAGATTCACTCACATCCAAGGTACAATCAATGATAACTTGAGAAGTTGCACTAGAAGGAGGCAAAGATAACACAATCATCTTACGAACATCCTGCACATCATTTCAAAATTAATGACAGTAAAACTGCATCTCAGCATTGACATGTAGTATTAAGATGCGCTCGGGTAATCGTTAAATGTTCAGTCCAGATATTTTCCATTGAAAGACAATAATACATAAGATTCGAGACCCCATAATTAGATTAAGAGGAAAAACACGTTCAAGAAACTAAGCATACGGTTTAGGTACAAATCCAAAGATATATATCCCTTTCAGTCAAATATTTTAAGTAACAGGAAACCAAAATTTAATGTACCCAAATAACCATAAGGTGCAGGGAAGTCTCTGAAATAACTCAGCGACCATGGTCATGTTACAACACAATCAAAGACATGCTAACATGAGAAGTTAATGACCAACAGAATGAAATGCTTTCGTCTCAAACCCTCAGAACAGCTTGCACCTAATCTAACATTAACAACCTACTAAAAACCCTAAACACGAAACAGGGAAACTGAACAATCATCAGGGGAAACAGAAAGAAAAAAAAAACAAAACAATAAACATTCACATTATCCAATTGGTACACTCACCGCATTCTGTTCCAGAGGAAGCATCTCGAGGAACAAATCAAGGATGTCACTATTCACAGAGTCGTTCACAAAACGCGAAAGCGCTCTAACCGCAAAAGTACGCACCACAGGAATCTTGTCTCGCACCCTCACCATCATCCACTCTATCACCTCATCCCATAGGTCACTGCTCACTTCAGCGTCATCTGGAAGCCGCAATATTATCTACAATTCAACGAATCGAATAAATTAACTGTACTTTCCATTATCAGGTTACACTCACATCTCCAGTGTAATTGTTAACCATTAAATTATATGCGTTTTTCACTTCAGTTGCTAATTATGTAAAAATATACTAACATTAATATATTTTTTTTAATATTTAGCAAAAACAGAGGTTAAATATTTGGTTGGAAATCGAGAGAGTAGGTTACCTCGGAGACGATCTGGCAGGCGCGGTACCTGGCGGTTTTGTTGGATGCGGCGGCGGCTACGAGGAGGAACTTGAGGAAGTGGTCGAGGAATTCGTCGGCGGCGGTGACGGCGGCGAAGGTGGAGACGAAGGAGACGACGCGGTCGGCGGAGGCGAGGCGCCTTTGGAAATCGAAGAGAGGAGTCAGGATTTTGGAGAAGGCGGAGAAGAAGAGGGAAGGGGAAGGGGATTTGGATCGGAGGAGTGAGAGCTCCTTGAGCTTTCGGTTGTGCGTGGCGTAGGAACTTCGAGCCTCGTCCAGAATCGCGGCGATTTTCAGCATCAATCGCTTCGCTTCCTCTGCGTCGTTCTCCTCCATGGCTTTCGCCTCTGGGATGGCCATGGTGAAGATGATTGGAAATGAAGTTTCAACTCTGAATTCAGCAGAATCTCAAACGTCGCCTTTTGATTTTGAATTTAAGCGGGAGTTAGAGTTTTGGTTGTTTTGGGCCTCAATTATTTATTATGGGCCGTCGCGCCTGACACTCCCCTTAAGGCCCTGACGCTTTTTCTACATATCATGGACAGAAATAATAAAACATACAATACCCATCTATCCGAAATTCTGAATTATATAGATTATATTTCACTATCTTGTAATTTTAGTTAGTTAGTTTCTAATATAATACTTACCTGTGTTGACAATTTTTTTATTATGTTAAGTGTTAAATGTAGGTAACTCTCAGTTAAATAAAAAATAAGAAGATTATTGCTTGTTTTAAAGTTCATTTAGAAAGTTAAATTCATTTCAATTTAATTTTCTAACTATAATTCAAATATATATAATTTTGTTGGTGTTATTTTAGGATAAAATTGGAGTTTTGTTCTAATAATGTATACTAACATTGCATGAAATGTTTTATTACTTATCTATATATTGTATGTAAGTAAACTATAAAGTTATCTTAATGATAGAAATTGAAGTAATATACATAAGGTCCTAAATTTTGTTAATGTGATTATAATTTCTATAGTTAAAAAAACATATTTATATAAATTTTATCTTTAAAAAAATACTTACATGAATAATAATAATGTATTAAAAGTTATAATATTATATATTTATTATCTATTTAAAATCTTATATCTATATAAAGAGTTTATCAAACCTAGTAATAGCTACATTATCAACAACAACAAAAAATAATATATATATA